AAGAGGAGCAATGTGCATTAATTCAGATTCATGTTCTGCCACTCGCAGTAAAACCACGTCGGAAAAATCTGCAAGACTACCCAATTGTGCTCCAGACGGCACACACCAGAACTCTTGCCACGGCGCCATCTTTACAGCATTAATCTCATTACTCGCAGGTCACTATTGTTAAATGATTGTATTGATTCGTCTATCTGCAGGAGGAAGGAGGGGCCATGCATTTAAATAGCTAGGTCACTAGTATTAAATGATTAGGTAACTAAACTGCAGTTGTTGCATTTGAAAGTGCAGCAGAAAGAAAAAGGGCCCGATGTGAATCTGCAATGGGTGTGAAGTGGTGTTGGAGCTAATGAACGCATGGATCAGTGATCGTTCATGCGTATCTGCCATAACCAAAGCAGAAGATGGCTCCAGGGGACGTCTGTTATTCGCATGGGAATGTTTCGGATTCGGGTTGATTTATTTCCTCAGGCTGTTAAACAACCATGGGCATGGTTCTCTGACCGCCGCTGCTGCCGGTCCCCGCTGCCGTTCCTACTGATGCCTGATCCCGCTGATGCCTGTTCCTGCTGCCTGTTCCTGCTGCCGCTCCTGCTGCCGCTCCTGCTGCTGCCTGTCCCTGCTCCTGCTGCTCCTACTACTACATGTGCCGCTGCTGCTGTTCCTGCTGCCTGTTCCTGCTGCCGCTCCTGCTGCTGTCTGTTCCTGCTGCCTGCTCCTGCTGCTCCTCCTACTACATGTGCCGCTGCTGCTGTTCCTGCCGCTGCCGCTCCGCGGGCTCCCAGGCTGCACCCGTCTCTACGGCTCGGCTCTTTCAGACACGTATGTAACCTGGCTCACGGAGACAAGCGGCGCACGCTGGCGTGACACGTCTGTTGTTCGTATGAATCGCATTGTGGTGCTGCTGCTCCTGCTAATGCTGCTTCATACTGCTACCGCTACTGCTGCTACTGCTGCCGCTGCTGCTTCATACTGCTACTGCTGCCGTGCTGCTGCTGCTTTATGTACTTCGACATCTCTCTTCACTTCGCATCTCTTTTACTGAAACACTAAACAGCTACAACAATATTCTACTGCTGTGGCTTTGATACAGGATCATTGCTGTTATTATCTACGGATGCTGCAGCTGCTGCTGCTACTGCTGCTGCTTCATACTGCTACTGCTGCTACTAATGCTGCTGCTGCTTCATTTACTTTGACATCTCTCTTCACTTGCATCTCTTTTTCTGAAACACTGAACAGCTACAACAATATTCTACTGCTGTGGCTTTGATACAGGATTATTGCTGCTATTACCTGAGGTTACCGCTGCTGCCGCTACTGCTACTGCTACTGCTGCAACCCACTCTCTCAGAAGCTTATCCTGCTTCTAATGGACGCAGCCCGGCTGAGCATGCCGCGCTGCGCTGGACTCGCACCTATGCTCCCAGGGTCGCTTCGGCGGTCATGCTTCATCTCTCTACTTAATCTTCTGATTCTATCAGATGCAGCCGGCCAAGTAGCTGCGCTGATCCGTCAATCGGACTCCTAATCAAAGGCATCCATACCTGTATTCTTCACTCTTCTGATCGCAGGCTCCCCCATCATGCTGCCCATCCTGCAGCGGCTCTGAGCGGCACTGAACTCCGGCTCATCTTCCAAGTACATGTCTGCCCTCCTCGCAGCATCTTCCTGCTCGCCTTCTATGACTTCTCTGCATAAGCGTTTCACTACTGCTCGCTCAACCTTCATGCGGTCCGAGACACGGCTTTCCCGACCATCCTACTATCCTGATTATCTACTCTCCAACCCCAGATTCTAAGCGTAGGGGCGCCTGCAACGTCATGGCCCTCTCCGACATGTCTCTGCCCCTACAGGTCTCCGCTTCTACACGGACGTGCCCCTTCCGTGGGTTTTGGGGGGTTCTTCCAGGACCATTGGGTTAGAAAGAAACGGGGCGCTGGTCCTCTTCGGCTTTCTCCGCCTACATCAGGCCAGACGCGTCCGCTATCCTGGCTGCACAACGTCTACTGGCTTCCTCGTAAGCTCCCAGCAAAGCAATACGAAGCAAAGTAAGTGAAGCAATAAGTTCTGGTGGCGGCACGCACTTTTCTCAAACACTCTCCGCTGCCGCAGCGTCTGACGGAACGTGATGCGAGCGCTCACGTTCCCAGCGCGCAAAGATAACTCTGCTGCAGCGTCCGGTTGATTGTGATGCGAGCGCTCACGTCCCGGCGCTCAAAGATAACCGCATATAACGGTCACAGCATATAGCGATAGCGGTCACAGCATATAGCGATAGCGGTCACAGCATATAGTGATAGCGGTCACAGCATATAGCGATAGCGGTCACAGCATATAGTGATAGCGGTCATAGCACCAGTGATAGCGGTCATAGCATCAGTGATAGCGGTCATAGCATCAGTGATAGCGGTCATAGCATCAGTGATAGCGGTCATAGCATCAGTGATAGCGGTCATAGCATCAGTGATAGCGGTCATAGCATCAGTGATAGCGGTCATAGCATTAGCGATAGCGGTCACAGCATAGCAAAAAATGGTTAGCGCATAAACGGTCACAGCATAGTGATAGCGGTCACAGCATAGCGATAGCGGTCACAGTATATAGCGATAGCGGTCACGACGTCTGTCCCCTGCAAAACAGGCTGCAAAACTCCATCAACACACAGCCTTTTGGGGATTGTACGCGCTCTATCGCAGGAGCCTCTCCGACTGAAGGCCGCACCGGGGCCTAGGGCGCCAAACCACCTCTCATTAAAATACTCAAAAGCATTCTCGCTTTCTCGTCTCTCCAAATTGAATTAATATGCATTGAGTCCTATGGGGAAAATTTCTGGGTAGCCCCCATAAATTTAGTCTGGTTCAGTCTGCAGTACCGCGAGAATCCTCTGAGCACATGAGTTCTTCAGCTACAAGCTGTAATACCCTATCCAGTTATTATAATAGATCCAAGGTTCTTTCCCGTCTTTGGTCTGAGGAGGATGTTATTCAGGAAGTGAGTACTGCTGGAGGGGGGCTCGAGGTCGTGTTGTAAAGTCCCTCTGCCCCCTACTGGCCGGGCGATAGAACTACATGGTTTTCTTCCTGGTATGAGCGCTGTGTGTTTGCATAAAGAGCCGGTGGTTGCTGTTTTGTTTGGTATTGTCTGCAGCCTCCATCTTAAAAGTCTCAGAGTCAGTGACCGCAGCCCGAGCCATGGACAGAGCTAACCTCCCTTTGATCTGCAGTTTGAGCTTACTTTGAAAATGTATTTAGTTACAAAGTTACATTACTTCTGGATTCTTTTCTTTAACAAAACAGAATCATGTGTTTTCTTTTTAAGTCAGAGGTTGAAAAATGGCTCAATTGTACACAAACCTGCACCAGAGACTGAATAGACACCAGATAGACCAGAGAGAGACCAGAGAGAGACCAGAGAGAGACCAGAGAGAGACCAGAGAGAGATCAGAGAGAGACCAGAGAGAGATCAGAGAGAGATCAGAGAGAGACCAGAGAGAGACCAGAGAGAGACCAGAGAGAGACCAGAGAGAGACCAGAGAGAGACCAGAGAGAGACCAGAGAGAGATCAGAGAGAGACCAGAGAGAGACCAGAGAGAGACCAGAGAGAGACCAGAGAGAGACCAGAGAGAGATCAGAGAGAGATCAGAGAGAGACAAGAGAGACCAGAGAGAAACCAGAGAGAGACCAGAGAGAGACCAGAGAGAAACCAGAGAGAAACCAGAGAGAAACCAGAGAGAGATCAGAGAGACCAGAGAGACCAAACACTAGTGATTGCCCCTGATGATTTAATACTAGGGATTAAACAATACTTGGGTGATGTAGGCCAGTCTGTTAAACCGAGCCTTAGAAACCTGGGTGCTATTTTTGACAAGGATATGTCACTAGTTCAACACTGCAAACAGCTGACCAAAAATTGCTTTTTTTCAGCTGAGAAACATCTCCAAATTTAAGAAAATGGTGTCACAGAACGACTTGGAACTCATAATTCATGCCTTTGTGTCTTCTCGTTTAGATTATTGTAATGGTTTGTTTTCATGTCTGAACAAGAAGGAGCTATCACGTCTGCAGCTCGGGTTCTCACACGCACAAACAGGAGGAGCACATCACTCCTGTCCTCAAAGCTCTCCACTGGCTGCCCGTGTCTTACAGGATACATTTTAAAATATTGGTGCTGACTTTCAGAGCTCTGCATGGTCAGGCTCCCCCTTATATCAGCCTTACACCCCCACTCGGCCCTGAGGTCTGTGGATCAGAATCTGTTAATGGTCCCACGCACGCGCTGTATAAATAAAGCTTACTTACTTACTTACCAGAGGAACCAGAGAGAGACCAGGGAGAGACCAGAGAGAGACCAGAGAGAGACCAGAGAGACACCAGAGAGAGACCAGAGAGAGACCAGGGAGAGACCAGAGAGAGACCAGAGAGACACCAGAGAGAGACCAGGGAGAGACCAGGGAGAGACCAGAGAGAGACCAGAGAGAGACCAGAGAGAGACCAGAGAGAGACCAGAGAGAGACCAGGGAGAGACCAGAGAGAGACCAGAGAGAGACCAGAGAGAGACCAGAGAGAGACCAGAGAGAAACCAGAGAGAGACCAGAGAGAAACCAGAGAGAGACCAGAGAGAGACCAGAGAGAAACCAGAGAGAGACCAGAGAGAAACCAGAGAGAGACCAGAGAGAGACCAGAGAGAGAGACCAGAGAGAGACCCCAGAGAGGGAGACCAGAGAGAGAGACCAGAGTGACCAGAGAGTCCAGAGAAAGACCAGAGAAAGACCAGAGAGAGACCAGAGAGAGAGACCGGAATGTAAGAAAAGACAGAGAGAGGATTCCTGACTCCTAAATTTTTCCTATTGTATCTTTTCTTTTCTCAGTTTTTATAATCATGATGGAGATTCAGCCAGCTGCTCCCCCTGGTGGCAGCGCAGGGAGCGACAGGCGGATAGTATTTTCTTTCACTTCAAACCTGTATTTTCTGCTGCAGATATTGTTCCCGCTGCTCACATGGGCCTGTTGTCCAGGGTCAGAGGTCAGCGCACATGGTCCTTGGCATTCAGCTGCCGTCGGCACCTGTCAGACCAGGCCACCAGGGGTCAGCGTGGAGTCAGGTGCTGAATGGAGATTGTTCTGTGGAGAGTTTTTTAGTCTGAGAAAAACTCTTCAGGAACAAAGACTGGAAATGAAATGTAATGAAACTATTTCCACTTTCAGATCTGTCTCTGTAAATGACTCTCATCTCTCAGACCAAACCACGGGGAACACGAGACTGAAGACCAGATTACAGAGGGTTCTTTTCATAATGGCAAACACGGACAGCTAGAGTGAGTATTATGGTATGTTTTACAATATTTTAATCTCATAATAATATAAGGATAATATTTCTTAAGATTAACAACCTTAACACTGAACCCAGAACACACTAATACTCTCACAAAGATCTGGTCTCTCTCTGGTCTCTCTCTAGTCTCTCTCTCTCTGGTCTCTCCTTCTCTGGTCCCTCTCTGGTCTCTCCCTGGTCTCTCTCTGGTCTCTCTCTGGTCTCTCTCTGGTCTCTCTCTGGTCTCTCTCTGGTCCCTCTCTGGTCTCTCTCTGGTCTCTCCCTGGTCTCTCTCTGGTCTCTCTCTGGTCTCTCCCTGGTCTCTCTCTCTCTCTGGTCTCTCTCAGGTCTCTCTCTTGTTCTCTCTGGTCTCTCTCTGGTCTCTCTCTCTCCCTGGTCTCTCTATTGCTCTCCCTGGTCTCTCTCTCTCTGGTCTCTTCCTGGTCTCTCTCTTTCTGGTCTCTCCCTGGTCTCTCTCTGGTCTTTCTCTGGTCTCTCTCTCTCTGGTCTCTCTCTGGTCTCTTTCTTTCTGGTCTCTCTGTGGTCTCTCTTTGGTCTCTCCCTAGTCTCTCTCTCTCTGGTCTTATCACTGAACAAAGACGGACACAAAAATACATTTAGTGTAAAAATCTCCACAGCGCGTGTCTTCGTTTCAAACCACCCCAGAGCCGCCTACAGTCTTTCTACAGATGAATGTTTTGAATCCAAGGTTGTTTAACGTCACAGATGTCACAGTGTCTGTTCATATTGCCTGTAGCTCCACACCAGGCTGTGTAAGGGCTGCTTGACCAAGAAGGAGAGTGGCTGGACCTGAACCCTCCAGTCCAGATGGAGAAAGCCAAGAGTGAAGCAGTGTCAGAGCAAAAGGTGCTGCTTTGAAGAACCAGAAATAACACATATTTTCACTTGGTTCATACTTTTTTTAGTACATACATAATTCCACATGAGTTCATTCATAGGTTTGATGCCTTCAGTGTCAATCTATAACCTTCGCCGGCGCTTAGCTAGCCCGCGCTAACACCAGCACTAAACTGTGTAGGTTTCCTCCGGGTGCTCCGGTTTCCCCTATCACTAAAAACATGCACAATAGGTACAGATGTAGATGAGAGAGTGAATGGATGGTGTTTGGTCGGAGGCCTTGATGGTCCAGTGTGTTCTGGTGTCGCTTCTGTCATCACCGTGTGTGGAAATGATTGGAACAATATCTGACTCTGAACTCTGTAAAGTGCTTTGGGTGACTTTGGTCTGTAAAATGCGCTATTTAAATAAACATGACTTACTTACTGTTGGGGGCCATTGAGCTAGCGGGTTAGCATTGTCTATGTACTGACTCACAGGGACTGAACCAGGACTGAACCAGGTCAGAACCAGGTCTGAGCCAGGTCTGAACCAGAGTGAACCAGACTCTCAGGGCTCACACCAGGACCAGTGTCGCAAGTTTTGGTCTGAAGTGTTTTCGTGACATATTTTCTGAGTGAAAATGTAAATGACGGTGAATATCTTAAACTGTCTTTGGCTCAAACTGAGACGATAATGAAGCCGCTGCGACCGTGACTGCGGATCATCATCTGTAATATTCAGACCTTGGGGAAACAAACGTCAGGAGAAAAGCAGGAAGGAACTTAGATTGGTCTGATTTAAGAAAAAAGAAAAGGCTGAATATTGAGAAAAGATCAAATAATCTGAAACTGGGTTTTTCTAATCTGTTTGATAATCTACAGACTTTTAACAAATATAACACTGTTTCTACAGGAGAGTCCCACCACAACATGTTAGAGAGAGGCCTGGTCCAGTCCTGGTCCAGTCCTGGTCCAGTCCTGGTCCAGTCCTGGTCCAGTCCTGGTCCAGTCCTGGTGTTCTGGTGTCCTGGTCCAGAACTGGTCCAGTTTTGATTTCAGCTTCTCCGTGTTCTCTCCTGCTGCTGGTTCTCCTAATGCTGGTGCTCCTCCTGCTGGTTCTCATTTTGCTGGTTCTCCTCCTGCTGGTGCTTGGCTCCTGCTGGTTCTCCTCCTGCTAGTGCTCCTCCTGCTGGTTCTCCTTTTGCTGGTTCTCCTCCTGCTGGTGCTGGTGCTGGTGCTGGTATTGGTGCTGGTGCCTCTGCTGGTTCTGGTGCTGGGTTCAGGACTTTAAAACACCATCTTGAAACTGTGGACTTATGTCATGGCTCAGAATGTTTGGGTGTGAAAAGGTCGGCGTGTTGTTTGGACCCGTGTCGGCTCTTCACCGGGTCAAAGACAGGAGCAGACTAACATCAGACTACAACATGCTGTTTTTATTACAAGGTGAGTTTAGTCTAGTTTAGTCCTGGTTTGGTCCTGGTTTGGTCCTAGTTCAGACCTGGTTCAGACCTGGTTTTGGTTTAGTCCTGAATTCATCTTTGAGTCCATTTGCTGTGAGTGAAACAGAGGCGTTTCTAAATAACAGCTGCTGCTTCTGTTTGAATAATGGATTTATACGAATAAATAATCAGCCAAACACCAGTTCTGGGTCTAGAGCCTCAGTCCTGGATCTACAGTCTCAGTCCTGGGTCTACAGCCTCAGTCCTGGGTCTACAGCCTCAGTCCTGGGTCTAGAGCCTCAGTCCTGGATCTACAGTCTCAGTCCTGGATCTACAGTCTCAGTCCTGGGTCTACAGCCTCAGTCCTGGGTCTACAGCCTCAGTCCTGGGTCTACAGACTCAGTCCTGGGTCTACAGTCCCTGGGATCCTGTGAGAGAGTTAATGGGTTTGAAGAGGGGGAAGTGGAGTGGCCTCATGGAGCTGCACTTCACCAACCAAGTCCAAATGGGTCCTTTTTTAGTCATATTTATTCTCGAGCCTTGTTTCTGTGAATCAGTTTTTTACATTTGTTTTATTTTAAAACTCATGACATCAATGTCTTTAGTTCTGGCTCTGAAACAGTTTTCAAATGATTGTATATTTGGCCTTTGTCGGATCTCTCTGGTCTCTCACTCTCTGGTCTCTCCCTCTCTTCTCTCTCTCTCTGCTTGCCCTCTCTGCTCTCTCATATTAGCTGAGACTAATGAGGTCCATTATCAGCCTCCTCCATTCTCCCATTAATAACAAAGGCTTAATGCACAGGTTATTTCAGAGACGAGGCAGCGGTGAAATTATGGATTTTTTTTTTTTATCTGAGAAAGTGCCACCTCCTTCAGAGAGGTTTTTATCAGAGAGAAGACGTGAGCTGCACACGGCGAAAAGGGGAAGGAGGTGTGTGTGTGTGTCTGTGTGTGCGTGTGTCTGTGTGTGTGTGTGTGTGTCTGTGTGTGCGTGTGTCTGTGTGTGTGTGTGTGTGTGTGTCTGTGTGTATGTGTGTGTCTGTGGTCGTAAAAACTTTAAAATTGATTTAGATCCTTCTTTGTTTGTCACATTAAAGCAGAACTAAGTGATTTTTGTGAGTCCCGGGTCTTCAGCCTCAGTCCTGGATCTTCAGCCTCAGTCCTGGGTCTACAGCCTCAGTCCTGGATCTACAGCCTCAGTCCTGGATCTACAGCCTCAGTCCTGGGTCTACAGATGGTCCTGGACTGGTTACCATGCAAACACGGTGTTTACTATTAGCAGTTAGCATCTTTTCAGACAAACTGTTTTAGCTGCATTCACTATAGATCTATCACTTTAAACTTTATAAATGACAATAAATTGTCACTGATTATGAAAAAAATGTTTGAAAACTTACTTTTTTGTGCTGTTTTCAGAATCCCACAGATTTGACCACTGTCAGAATGACCCGGTGCTGAAGCTTGGAACATTTCTATATTTACCACATTTATTAGTTTTTTTCTGTGAAACAACATGCCTCTGTTGACACGGGGAAAGAACACTTAGTCCCACTTCGTGCTCAGCTCTGGTTGTTCGGTCTTTGCAAGTCGCTGCGCTAACGTAAAGCTAAAATCTATTTACTTTCCCTCGGGTCCAGACCATAAAAACAATTATCGAAATTATGGCAAATACAAGAGAAAATTGGTCTAAACAGCGAAGCTACCTGAGCATGCTACAGCGGAAACAGATGTGGTTATGGGTCCACGAGAGAGCACAGAGCACACATGTGTTAGGAGAGAAACATGTATCTGCTCTCTCTAGAGTAGGGTAGGGAAGGGTAGGGTAGGGTAGGGTAGAGTAGAGTAGAGTAGAGTAGAGAATGGTATAGTAGAGTAGAGTAGGGTAGAGTATAGTAAGGTAGAGTAGAGTAGGGTAGAGTAGAGTAGAGTAGGATAGGGTAGAGTAGAGTAGGGTAGAGTAGAGTAGAGAAGGGTAGGGTAGAGTAGAGTAGAGTAGAGTAGGGTAGAGTAGAGTAGGGTAGAGTAGAGTAGAGTAGGGTAGGGTAGAGTAGGGTAGGGTAGAGTAGAGAAGGGTAAAGTAGAGTAGAGTACGGTAGAGTAGAGTAGAGACGGGTATAGTAGAGTAGAATAGGGTAAAGTAGAGTAGAGTAGAATAGGGTAAAGTAGAGTAGAGTAGGGTAGAGTAGAGTAGAGTAGAGTAGAGTAGAGAAGGGTAGAGTAGAGTAGAGAAGGGTAGAGTAGAGTAGGGTAGAGTAGAGTACGGTAGAATAGAGTAGAGAAGGGTAAAGTAAATTAGAGTAGAGTAGAGAAGGGTAGAGTAGAGTCTAACAAAAAAGGTTCTCTCTTTCCTCTGTCTCATGTTCATTGAGAAAATCAATTCCTTCTTTACATTCAAACCACACACACCTGTGCTTTAGACCTTATGTATTGGGCATTTCTGGTCTCTCTCTCTGGTCTCGCTCTGGTCTCTCTCTAGTCTCTCTCTGGTCTCTCTCTGGTCTCTCTCTGGTCTTTCTCTAGTCTCTCTCTGGTCTCGTTCTGGTCTCTCTCTCTCTGGTCTCTCTCTGGTCTCTCTCTGGTCTCTCTCTGGTCTTTCTCTAGTCTCTCTCTGGTCTCGCTCTGGTCTCTCTCTCTCTCTAGTCTCTCTCTGGTCTCTCTCTCTCTTGTCTCTCTCTGGTCTCTCTCTCTCTAGTCTCTCTGGTCTCGCTCTGGTCTCAGACTATGC